AAATAAATATAAATAATAATGTATAAAAATAAAATTACCCACCTAGATGCGATGCAACTAAAGCTGCAGGAGCAGGAGGCACTATCAGTACAGAGGATACTCTCCCAGCTTTGTTTTCACTGTGCTCTGAGGCATGTTGCTAGATGTCAGTAGTACTCAGCAGAGTGATCACCCAGTAGTAGTCTGTCTAATTTAGCTAATGAAAATAATACCATCTCAGCCTGCTCTGCCTTGCCTTGCAAAGATCCAAACAATATGCAGTAGATAGCCTTTCACTTTCCTATTCCTTTACTGCCTTTGAAGACGAGGCAGTGCTGAACGTGGTATCTGACCTGTGTGAGGAGTGCTGAGTACTTCATGGTGCAAACTAAGACGATCTCACAGTTGTGTCCTTGGCAGCCCCAAGGTTACGCAGTGGTGAGTAGTATCTAAGCGTGTCCTTTGTCAAATGAGGACTGATATTTGTATAATACTAATGGAAAGAATTGAAAAGAAAGTAGAACAGGGCATTTTGATGTGTTGAAAATGTATCAAAATAAGAGAAAATGTGTTCTGAAATGTGTTATTTGATCACCTTTCACAGTCAAGAAGGAATTTGCTATGTTGAACAGCAATCTGTGGAACAGACATCCTACTTGGCTTTCCTTCACAGCACTAGTTATTGGTTATTTCCAGAGACTTTTGTGAAACAGAGCTGGGATAGTAAATCCATTATTATGTTAACTTTAATTAGGGGAAAAAAAAATTCCATAAGCACCATGAGATATCAGGATATTGTATATGAAATGTAAGGTTCTAAGCTTGCTGTCATTGTTCAGCTCCTCTCTTAACTGGGTAGGTTTTAGAAGTTGGTATGAGCTTTGAAATACTGATTCTGTGGAGAGTTTTGGGGGGGGTTTTGTGTTGTTGTTGGTTTGGTTTTTTTTTTCTTCTCTCATAACAATTTCTGTACCATCTTTTCCAGTCATCCTTGCATAATATCCTGATGTACCTTAGTCCTCTTTTGGGAGCTGTCCTGGTAGTGATGGAGCAGGTTTCCCACCTGTATGCATTCTTTTCTCCCTGCAGACATATATTGGTACTCTTCTTGTATCTGTCAACCCTTACAAAGAGCTGGATATCTACACTGTGACACAGATGCAGCTTTATCGAGGGGTAAACTTTTTTGAACTGCCACCACATCTGTAAGTAGAACCCTTAGGACTTCAGTTTATATCAGTAAATTGGGTTTTCTCTGTAATGCTGTGTGCTAGCAACAAGGATGCTTATCCACAGTCAGTAGGTGTGGTGAATGGTGATCTTATCTTCCTGCAGGTAAGAATGTGTTTGTATCTGGCTTCTAGCTGACTGTGAGATGAAAGGGGAACAAAAGCACTGCAGAAGTGATGTTGGGGAAACTGTAGGGA